TCTACCTATCTACCTATCTATCGATCGATCGATCTATCTATCTACCTATCTACCTATCTATCGATCGATCTATCTATCTATCTGTCTGTCTATCTATCTATCTATTTATCTATCTATCTATCTATCGATCGATCTATCTATCTATCCATCTATCTATCTATCTATCTATGTATCTATCTATCTATCTATCTATCTATCTATATCTCTTCCTATCTAAAAATCTATCTACCTACCTACCTATCTATCTATCTATCTATGTATCTATTTATCTATCTATCTATCTATTTATCTATCTATGTATCTATCTATCTATCTATCTATCTAATTACCTATCCATCTATCTATCTATCTATCTGTCTGTCTGTCTATCTATCTATTTATCTACCTACCTGCAAGATTGAAAACGAAAGCATTCTGCGAGACGTCCTCAGGTTTTGAACTAGCTATCTATCCATCTATCGATCGATCGATCTATCTATCTACCTATCTACCTATCTATCTACGATCGATCGATCTATCTATCTGTCTGTCTGTCTGTCTATCTATCTATCTACCTATCTATCTATCTATCTATCTATCTCTCTCTCTGTTTGTCTGTCTATCTATCTACCTGTCTGTCTGCAAGCTTGAAAACGAAGCTAATGTCCTCAGGTTTTGAACTTGACAACATCAAAAACGCAGCAATTCTGCTCGACTTCCTCAATGTTTGAACTTGACAACGTCAAAAACGAAGCAATTCTGCGAGACTTCTTCATTTTCAAAGTTGACAACATCAAAAACGAAGCAATTCTGCAAGCCTTTCTTCAAAAATGGAACGTTGCGTGCAGAGCTGACGGCCTCGTACCAATGCGTTTTGCGATTTTTCCAGCCCGTCTGTCTAAACTACTGCGCCTAACGCGAAAAAGTGATGCCGGGTCATACGAAGTGCTGCACCTGTCACGCAAAATCGTCTCAGCAAACCTGAAGATCTGATGCTCCAAAATGCAACCTCTCTCAGGAAATCAGCGCCCGGACCTCCTAACAGCTCTGATGAACATGTTTCTTGTACGCCTGCCACGGAAAATGCATCTTTGCAGATCCTCTTCCAATGCCCCACGCCTGCCATAGTTTGTGGACATGCTACAAAACCCTCACGTTTTGCTCACTTTTGAGAAGGTGCACAATCCCTTGCGCCTGCCACGAAAAACGACGCTTCAACGTCCAAAAGTGGCGCGAACATGTGGTGTTTTGTACATTTTGACTTCGAAATGTGCTTCGCGCCACAACGGCGTGCACTTTTTCGACATCTCAACTTCCAAAAGTGCTCCGCAGCTGAGGTGCTTTGTACATTTTGACTTGGAAATGTGCTTCGCACCACTACGGCGTGCACTTTTTCGACATTTACCGAGGCTGGTGTATTTTGTACATATTGACTTTGAAACGTGCTTCGCGCCACAATGGCGTGCACTTTTTCGACATCTCAACGTCCAAAAGCGCTCTGAACCCGTAAGTTTTTAACACTTTTGACTTGGAAATGTGCTTCTCGCCACAACAGCGTGCACTTTTTCGACATCTCAACTTCCAAAAGTGGTCCGAATGTGAGGTGTTTTTAGTTTTTTGACTTGCAAATGTGCTTCGCGTCACGACGGCGTGCACTTTTTCGACATCGCAACTTCTAAAAGGGCTCCGATTCTGAGGTGTTTTGTACATTTTGACTTGGAAATGTGCATCGCGCCATACCGGCGTGCAATTTTTCATCTCATCTGGCCAGATGGCTCCGCACCCGCCGCATTAGCGAGCCTACTTTTCGACCCTCCGGAGCCACAAATATTGGAAAACACCCTCCGGAGCCACAAATCATTGGAAAACACAGTGTTTCGCGACTTTCCTACCTTTTCGCGCACCTGTAAGCTTCTTTCTGCTGACTCTTTCTCTTCTCTGATCTTCTCTCTTCTACTCTTCTACTTTTCTCTTCTCTCTGACTCTTCCCATCTCTGCTTTTCATCTGTCCATATTGTCGGAAGTTTGACTTCTAAACTTCCTTTTCTAAACTTCCTTCGATGATTCTTATTATAACATAATTATATGTAATATTATGTAATGAGGTTTCGCTGCAACCTAATTTGATCACATTTTTGCCGATTCCAGGACTTTAACGAAACAGCCAACTCCGAAGAAGCACCTCGGAGCTTGATGTCGGCCACTCCATGCTACTCCATCTCCTGGGGCCTGGGATGGCTTTTGGTTCAGAGGGAATATGGTTTTAAGATGTTGTAAGCACCCGCCGCTCAGATGGCCACACTAGATTTTCGTTTTCTTACCGATTACCGGATGAGTCAAACATGTCTTGCAGCTTATCATCCTTGACTCCTTGACTGGTTTGTTTCTGTTGAAGACATGCCTAGTCTGCAGCTTCAAAGTGCGCAGATTCTCAAAGAGAGTCCTGGATGCCCCTCGGCATGAGCTGCGTCTGAATTGCGCTCATGGCTTCCTCCCTTCAAAAGGATAATGCAAATAGCGCTTGTAATTCCCCGTGCAAACCGTCTCAAACCATGATGGGTTAACTTCATCCTGTGAGGCGCACCCCTTGGTGAAGTTCTTCTGCGTGGCCAAAGTGGACGGGGATGGAGGGCTACAAAGTGTCAAAACTGGAGGAAGTCTCGCAGGAAATGCTCGTTTTGCTGCTCCCACGTGTCTCGTCTCGAGTTGCTGGTTTTCCTGTGGCCTCGCCGTGTCTATGGGGGAAGCTGCAAAACCTCTCCTTTTCGAAGGTTTCCAACTGTGAAATTGGAGGGAGTCTCGCAGGAAATGCTCGTTTTGCTGCTCCCAGGTGTCGTCTCGAATTGCTGGTTTTCCTGCGGCCTCGCTGTGTCTATGGGGGAAGCTGCAAAACCTCTCCTTTTCGAAGGTTTCCAAGCAGGTTGTCATGTGGTTTTGCGTGGCAGGCGTGGCACTTTGTGACATTCCAACCTGTTTGATAACGTGTCGAAAGTGTGAAAATTGGAGGAAGTCTCGCAGGAAATGCTCGTTTTGCTGCTCCCACGTGTCTCGTCTCGAGTTGCTGGTTTTCCTGTGGCCTCGCTGTGTCTATGGGAGAAGCTGCAAAACCTCTCCTTTTCGAAGGTTTCCAAGCAGGTTGTCATGTCGTTTTGCGTGGCACGCGTGGCACTTTGTTACATTCCAACCTGTTTGATAACGTGTCCAAAGTTCTTTTGTGTGGCTGGCGCAACAATGCACTCCACACTTTACACTCAACACTTTACACTCCACACTCTACACTCCACACTCTAAACTCCACACTCCACATTCTACGCGCCACACTCCACCACGCTCCACACTCCTCACTCTAAACTTTACACTCCACACTCCTCACTTTACGCTCCACACTCCACCCTCCACACTCCACACTCTACACTTTCCACTCCACACACCATTACACTCCACACTCCACAATTTACAGTTTAGACTCCTCACTCCACACTCAACACTTTAGACTCCACACTTTACCCTCTACACTCCACACTTCACACTCTACACTTTCCACTCCACACTCCACACTCTACACTTTACACTCCACACTCCACACTTTACACTTTACACCTCACTCCTCTACACTCTACACACACCACACAAATCACTCCACACTCCACACTTTACACTCCACACTCCTTACTTTACACTCCGCACTCCACACTCCACACTCTACACTTTACACTCCACACTCTACACTTTACACACTCTACACTCCCCACTCCACACTTTACACTCCTCACTCCGCACTTTACACTCCACTCTCCACACTTTGCACTCCACACTCCACACTCTACACTTTACACTCTACACTTTATGTTTTACACTCCACACTCCACACTCTACACTTTCCAGTCCACACTGCAGACTGGTAACAGGGGACGGAAATATGCACAAGACTGTTCAAAGAAACTATTGCAGAAACGTGTTCTGCGTGACTCCATATCCATGTGTTTCGACATCTGTACCATTAACATACGTGTGAGCATTCGGGTTCGTGGGCTGCATCTTGTTTTCTGCTTTGAAATGAGAGATGAAACCTGCAAAATGGCTCAATCTTTCGGGGAACATCGACAGGAAACACATGGGTTTTGACCATTCAAATGTCAGAAATATTACTATAGGGTTTCTGCAATTCTCCCTTCAACAACTCTTATTTTTGCCAACCTTGTGGAGGATATCAGCTTTGTTCCTGTACCTGTTAGGATGGGGATGTTGAAAATAATGTGAATTGAAGGACGATCATATGGGTTTACTGTAAGAAACAGCCATGAGACAGATGCGCCAGCAATCTATATAACCTTGCCTTGGAAAGGCCCTGTTGTAGATGAGTCTCCCCTTTCAAACAATGTTTCTTATTGCCATGTGAAATGACCGAAGAGTATGCTGTGGGAATGGTGCAAACACACACTCAATTCCTAGTTGCATGCTGTTGCATGCAGGGTTATACCCCGGCAACTAGGGTTCATTTCCTAGGATAAATGGGTTATCCCCCGGAATGTGGTTGTGACCCTTGGCCATGTGGAAGTGCAACGTAGCTTCACCTTTCTTGTGGCGACTCGGGTGCAGGCTCCAACAAAAGGTTTCCTCCCTGACCAGTGGATGTCTCAGAGGCATTGCTCAGAGGATCAACCTAGGAATCATAGGTGGTTCATAAGCCTTGGCAAAACAAGTCCCCAACTTCTGGGCCTATTCCGTCTACAAGTGGTTCGGAATTTCTGCGTTTGCTTACTTTTGATCCACATTTCATCAGGCAATCTCACCATTTTGCTTGGTTCAAATCCCACAATTTCCATGACTTTCCAAAAGCCATATACCCATTGCAATCATGGAATGACCCCTACAGCTTTCCGCCGCCCCACAGCCAGTCGTATCATCATATACCCAAGTACCACTCAAATACTGGGCTACATTCCACCGGCGGCCTATGGAGAACCGGGTCACAAGGGGTTCCAAAGGCAATTTTCCATGTAGCTATCCTTTAGCAGCAAGCTGGTTCAAGCTTTTAAAGCCTTGCGATCAAGCCTTTGGAGCGCCATGGTGTGGCCCAAGCAACATGAGGACGTCTTCACCGAGGCCGAAGTTGGGGCATCAACGGCCACAAGACGCCGTTCGGAACAGCCATGGAATCTGCAATGGAATCATACAATGTAGTGGTCGAAGCCCGTGAACAACTGACAGGATTAGTGTAATAACCAACATTTGTGGGTTCCCATGCCACGTTGTGACCCGGCAAATCATCACGCCCAAAGAAACTTCCTCACCATAGATCAACAGTGGAAAGCATCCCAATCTACCATCTTTCAGGTTTGTTTGTGATATCATGGCTTGACCCATTCTGAAGGTCGGGATTCAGATCAGATGAGTTTTTTCCGTTACTCGTTCACCAACAACGCATTGTGAGAATACCCTCAACCAATTATAATAACAGACAGGGGGGCGGGGTGGATAAATCGATCACACATATTTCCATTTCATGTATAAATTTCATACTGGATAAACAATCAACAGACCTGGATTTCGCCAACTTGGCGTTAAGTGATTCTTCCGATTCTGTTTCCGTGACAGGTCAGCAAAGAGTTGAAAAGGAAACTTCGCAAGGTGCGGGGGTGGTGAGGGGGTGACCTGGCCACCTCAATGGGAATAAATGGTGGTGGTCTGTTTTACTCTCTCGGAATGGGGTTATACCGGTTATACCCTATTTTGAGACAAAACCACCTGGTGAACTCGGAGAAAACACCAGGTATCTTATGAGATAGACACACATGGGGAGTACGGTGAAATGTCATGTGTCTATTTAGAGGAATTCAATCCTCGATGCGTACTTCACCTGTTCAGCGATTCTCAAGATTTGGCAAGATCATACAAGACCACCATCATATTTACCGTATGCGATTTATATAAATCTTGGATTGTCCATCCTATATATCGTACTGGAATAGGTCATGCCACTCAGTTGTTGGGCACCAATTCCCTTCGTGCAGGGAGAGCGTGATTGGACCTCGCTCGTGGAGGAGGTTGCTGCTGTCCGCAATTTGGGACACCACTGGAAGTCCAGCGCACCAATTTGGCTCAAAAGAGGATTTGCCCTCGTACTTGCAGATCCATGTGCATCATGCGCCACTTTAGCTCTGACATAGAAGCACTTCTGCAAAAAGGCTAGAATCGGCTAGAAACCTAAACAAGGGAAATGTATTTGTGCCCGAGTGGGGTGTCCTGTTGATGCAGTTCTTAGTGAGGGCTTGCTCTTCCAGCTTGCAGCCAGATGCTGCCATGGGCATCCATGATATCCATGGGCATCCATGGACACCACGGGATTCCGAGGTTACAAAAGACTTTTTTCACTGGAGAGGGATCCAGGTAGAAGAAGCGCTCATTGCTAAGGCGGATGAGTGATTCCCGCTGTGATCAGCAGCCATTGCAGATTCGATGTCATGATCGTTTTTTCTTCGGGCTACCAGCTCTAAATGGGGATGAGTATCCCTGACCAGGGTTGTCTCTCAGTTCAACTGGGGTGTACGGTCCAGTCATGACTGGGAAAACAGCCGGCCATGGCAGGTGGTGGAAACTTCACGGAAGAAAGGCTGCCAGCGCTTTCAACTCCTGCGGAGAGGATCTCAGAGGCGCTTCTGTTCCATAGATGTCCCAACTTTCCCACTGGTTGAGACAAGCAGTGTAGGGCATTTTTGTTTATCACAAATGGTGCCAAATTAGGGTGCCAATATATATATATATATATATACACATAATATAAGATAATATAAGATAATATAGTATAGTATAATATAATAAAAAAAATAACATAATATAATATAATATAAAATAACATAATATATATATATGTATATATATGTATATATATATATACACATGTATATATACATATATATATACATGTATATATATATATGTGTGTATATATATATATACACATGTATATACACGTATATACATATATATATATGTATATCTCTCTACCCGAAATGATACCGAAATAACCTGTTCGCTTCGTCATAGGTATGTGCGACTCTCGGAACCGACCCATCCGAACCGGCAACGGCAGCTACGGGAGACCGACAGGCACTGGTCAGTGGGCGATGTTGGGAAGTTGAGCAGGAGGATTGTCGGAGAGTGCAGGAATCTCATGCTCAAGAGTATGGGCCAACTCCAGAGAGAAGTATGAGAAGTATGAGATTTCAGTGGAGCCGCACGCCATGAATTTGAGATACAAAGCATTTTCTAGGATATTTAATGATATTCAATGATATACATATTGGATTTTTTGCTTTGCTCCTTCGGGTTGCACTTCGCTGAGCACTTCAGTTTTTTGTTGCGGCCGTGCCTGAGGCCGCAGCAGCTTGAGGTCGACTCAAACTACAACTTCTCGGTGGAGATGGCGAAGTTCTTGCGCGAGGGAACACGTCCATACAAGGACCTGGCTGCTGTCGTTGAGTGCAAGAGCCTGTGCCTTGAACGAAGAGGAACTGTTTGTGGGCGGCCATGGCTGGAAAGTGCCACAATTCATGGATTTCATATGATTTCATAAATCATAGGCACCTCAAAAGGGCACACTTTCCTGGCTCAACGACTCCCCATGGCATCACTGCAGGTCGTGCGTCAACCAGCTTCTTCAAAGCCAGCAGCCTCATAAAGACGGCCGTTGTCGCTTCGAACGGCGCCAGCTGGACCGCAGAGAAGTCTTGTGGGCCACGCCCAATACGTTGGACTTTCGAGAAGCTCAGGATGGTTATCTGGGGTCTGCCAGATAGTTCTGGTTTCTTTTGGGGTTGAACATCAGGTGAAATAGTTGTGAGATATGGTTAGACAATAGTTAGATACAGTTTTGAGCCCCCAAGAGGTGATATTTATGTAGAGGAAACGTTAGGAAAGCCATGGATCGATGGCCCTGTCAAGGAGCGCAGAGCGGAGATGATGGCGGACATGAGGAAGTTCGATGCCATCATCAGTCAAAGAGATGGCAAGCAGGTTGTGGTGGAAGATTTGCCGATGGTGCAAGCTATGTGGCGAACAGTTTGATTCTTGCAATTGAATTCAGATTTCTGATGCCCTTGAACCACTTTCTATTTTTCCCTGACCATACATGACCATAGAATCATCCCTACTATCAAGGTCAATTAGCATCAATTAGGCACCGTTGATGACTTTCTGGCGAGGCTCCTGGTTGCAGAGTCAAGCATGCCATAAATGCCGACTCTATGACTTTGATGAGATTGCACTGGACTGTGTTCCAGGTCAGGTTGCTTGGGACCTGGTGGGACATGTATGTATATCTCGCTGTAGGGTCATACAACAATCAGACGGAAATATATCCAAAATCCAATACAGAACACCAAGCAATAACGTTTCTGGTGGGAAAACAATCTTAGACCCCAGGGACTTCCCAACCCACAGGTGTTTGCCTTCTGAAAAGAACAAGCCTTGCCTCAAGACCCGAAGATATCTTATTGAACCGATTGATTGGTCAAAAGAGGGGGTATTCACACTCCATTTTTACAAGCAACAGGTCAGGGATGTCAATTTTTCCCCAAACAGCTCTTGAGCTGAATGGGGTTCTCAATTCTTGCTAGAAACGCCCTTTGTTCCCTCATGATTTGCTGGCTCCTCCTGGTTCCGGCTGGGGTTCCGGTGCTTGTCTCCCTTCTTCTTTCTACTTTCTTTCCTCAGGAAAGGAGTTCTGTTCTGTTCCATTATGATTTGCTGGTTCCTCTTGGTGCCGGCTGGGGTTCCGGTGCTTGTCTCCCTTCTTCTCTTCTTTCTTTCCTCAGGAAAGGGGTTCTGTTCCATCATGATTTGCTGGTTCCTCTTGGTTCCGGCTGGGGTTCCGGTGCTTGTCTCCCTTCTTCTCTCTTCTTGTTTTCGTCAGGAAAGGGGTTCTGTTCCATCATGGATTTCCTGGTTCCTCCTGGTTCCGGCTGGGGTTCCGGTGCTTGTCGCCCTTCTTCTCTCTTCTTTCTTGCCTCAGGAAAAGGGTTCTGTTCATCATGGATTTCCTGGTTCCTCTTTTTTCTGGTGGGGGTTCCGGTGCTTGTCTCCCTTCTTCTCTCTTCTTTCTTTTCTCAGGAAAAGGGTTCTGTTCCATCATGGATTTCCTGGTTCCTCCTGCTTCGGGCTGGGGTTCTGGTGCTTGTCACCCTTCTTCTCTCTTCTTTCTTTCCTCAGGAAAGAGGTTCTGTTCCATCATGATTTGCTGGTTCCTCTTGGTTCCGGCTGGGGTTCCGGTGCTTGTCTCATTTCCTCTCTCTTCTTTGGTTCCGGTGCTTGTCTCCCTTCTTCTCTCTTCTTTCTTTCCTCAGGAAAGAGGTTCTGTTCCATCATGATTTGCTGGTTCCTCTTGGTTCCGGCTGGGGTTCCGGTGCTTGTCTCCCTTCTTCTCTCTTCTTTCTTTCCTCAGGAAAGAGGTTCTGTTCCATCATGATTTGCTGGTTCCTCTTGGTTCCGGCTGGGGTTCCGGTGCTTGTCTCCCTTCTTCTCTCTTCTTTCTTTCCTCAGGAAAGAGGTTCTGTTCCATCATGATTTACTGTTTCCTCTTGCTTCCGGCTGGGGTTCCGGTGCTTATCTCCCTTTTTCTCTCTTCTTTGGTTCCGGTGCTTGTCTCATTTCTTCTCTCTTCTTTTTTTCCTCAGGAAAGGGGTTCTGTTCCATCATGATTTGCTGGTTCCTCCTGGTTCCGGCTGGGGTTCTGGTGCTTGTCTCCCTTTTTGTCTCTTATTTGGTTCCTGTGCTTGTCTCCCTTCTTCTCTCTTCTGTCTTTCCTCAGGACAGGGATTCTGTTCCATCATGATTTGCTGGGTTCCTCCTGGTTCCAGCTGGGGTTCCGGTGCTTGTCTCCCTTCTTCTCTCTTCTTTGGTTCCGGTGCTTGTCTCCCTTCTTCTTTATTTTATTTTTTCAAGAAAGGAGTTCTGTTCCATCATGATTTGCTGGGTTCCTCTTGGTTCCGGCTGGGGTTCCGGTGCTTGTCTCATTTCTTCTCTCTTCTTTGGTTCCGGTGCTTGTCTCCCTTCTTCTCTCTTCTTTCTTTCCTCAGGAAAGAGGTTCTGTTCCATCATGATTTGCTGGTTCCTCTTGGTTCCGGCTGGGGTTCCGGTGCTTGTCTCCCTTCTTCTCTCTTCTTTCTTTCCTCAGGAAAGAGGTTCTGTTCCATCATGATTTGCTGGTTCCTCTTGGTTCCGGCTGGGGTTCCGGTGCTTGTCTCCCTTCTTCTCTCTTCTTTCTTTCCTCAGGAAAGAGGTTCTGTTCCATCATGATTTACTGTTTCCTCTTGCTTCCGGCTGGGGTTCCGGTGCTTATCTCCCTTTTTCTCTCTTCTTTGGTTCCGGTGCTTGTCTCATTTCTTCTCTCTTCTTTTTTTCCTCAGGAAAGGGGTTCTGTTCCATCATGATTTGCTGGTTCCTCCTGGTTCCGGCTGGGGTTCCGGTGCTTGTCTCCCTTCTTCTCTCTTCTTTCTTTCCTCAGGAAAGAGGTTCTGTTCCATCATGATTTGCTGGTTCCTCTTGGTTCCGGCTGGGGTTCCGGTGCTTGTCTCCCTTCTTCTCTCTTCTTTCTTTCCTCAGGAAAGAGGTTCTGTTCCATCATGATTTACTGTTTCCTCTTGCTTCCGGCTGGGGTTCCGGTGCTTATCTCCCTTTTTCTCTCTTCTTTGGTTCCGGTGCTTGTCTCATTTCTTCTCTCTTCTTTTTTTCCTCAGGAAAGGGGTTCTGTTCCATCATGATTTGCTGGTTCCTCCTGGTTCCGGCTGGGGTTCTGGTACTTGTCTCCCTTTTTGTCTCTTATTTGGTTCCTGTGCTTGTCTCCCTTCTTCTCTCTTCTGTCTTTCCTCAGGACAGGGATTCTGTTCCATCATGATTTGCTGGGTTCCTCCTGGTTCCGGCTGGGGTTCCGGTGCTTGTCTCCCGTCTTCTCTCTTCTTTGGTTCCGGTGCTTGTCTCCCTTCTTCTTTATTTTATTTTTTCAAGAAAGGAGTTCTGTTCCATCATGATTTGCTGGGTTCCTCTTGGTTCCGGCTGGGGTTCCGGTGCTTGTCTCCCTTCTTCTCTCTTCTTGTTTTCGTCAGGAAAGGAGTTCTGTTCCATCATGATTTGCTGGGTTCTTCCTGGTTCCGGCTGGGGTTCCGGTGCTTGTCTCCCTTCTTCTCTCTTCTTTGGTTCCGGTGCTTGTCTCCCTTCTTCTCTCTTCTTTCTTTCCTCAGGAAAGAGGTTCTGTTCCATCATGATTTGCTGGTTCCTCTTGGTTCCGGCTGGGGTTCCGGTGCTTGTCTCCCTTCTTCTCTCTTCTTGTTTTCGTCAGGAAAGGGGTTCTGTTCCATCATGATTTGCTGGTTCGGTTCCGGCTGGGGTTCCGGTGCTTGTCTCCCTTCTTCTCTCTTCTTTCTTTCCTCAGGAAAGAGGTTCTGTTCCATCATGATTTACTGTTTCCTCTTGGTTCCGGCTGGGGTTCCGGTGCTTATCTCCCTTTTTCTCTCTTCTTTGGTTCCGGTGCTTGTCTCATTTCTTCTCTCTTCTTTTTTTCCTCAGGAAAGGGGTTCTGTTCCATCATGATTTGCTGGTTCCTCCTGGTTCCGGCTGGGGTTCTGGTGCTTGTCTCCCTTTTTGTCTCTTATTTGGTTCCGGTGCTTGTCTCCCTTCTTCTCTCTTCTTTGGTTCCGGTGCTTGTCTCCCTTCTTCTTTCTTCTTTTTTTCTGAAGAAAGGGGTTCTGTTGCATCATGATTTGCTGGTTCCTCTTGGTTCCGGCCGAGGTTCCGGTGCTTGTCTCCCTTCTTCTCTCTTCTTGTTTTCGTCAGGAAAAGGGTTCTGGTCTGTTCCATCATGGATTTCCTGGTTCCTCCTGTTTCAGGCTGGGGTTCCGATGCTTGTCTCCCTTCTTCTCCCTTTTTATCCCTCAGGAAAGGGCTTCTGTTTCATCATGGATTTCCTGATTCATCCTGCTTCCGGCTGGGGTTCCGGTGCTGGTCTCCCTTCTTCTCTTTTTTTTTCTCAGGAAAGGGGTTCTGTTCCTTCATGGATTTCCTGGTTCTTCCTGCTTCGGGCTGGGGTTCCGGTGCTTGTCTCCTTTCTTCTCTTTTCTTTATTTTCCTCAGGAAAGGGGTTCTGTTCCTTCATGGATTTCCTGGTTCCTCCTGCTTCGGGCTGGGGTTCCGGTGCTTGTCTTCCTTCTTCTCTCTTCTTTCTTTTCTTAATACGAGTGTGCCAGACGTTTTTTTTAATGAATGTTGAATTTTACATGACCTTGGTGGAAACATGCGTTGTTGCTGTTTGGGGTCCATGCTGGTGTTATTTGATACTTAACCTATTTCGACCCATCAACGAACTGTTTGAAGCGACTGGTACTTCCCCCCATCACCCACCCTAAAAATGTATTTTAGGGGAGGATGAGGTTAAGGAAAAAAACATTTATCGTCCTGCAAAAATTGACTCCCCAGGACCCCCCTAAATACATTTTTTGACGAGGTGGTGTCTGAAAAATATAGGATCCATGGGTCGGGATATCTGCCCCCCCAGGATCTTTTATCTTGGGGGGGTGGGTTAATACATTTTACGTGTTTGGTTTTTCCAGGATCCCCGGGAATGTCCAATTTTTTTTCTGGAGAATACCCTTCTTTGAAAAAGTATTTTGGGGGGGTTGGGCAGACGAAATGCACATCATTTTGGGCAAATGGATTTTATACATCTTGCTAAGGGAGTCGTTGGTACCCCTGCAAGGCATACATTTCAGCAAATTTCAGATCCAGCATATTTCAGCCATTTTGTGGCTCAAGGGTTCACTATAGTTGCCGATAGTTGTGCATGGCGTTCACTTCAGGGTATCTAGCGGTCTAACCCTAACGGATCCTGACGGCACGGCGCCCCATGAAAAAACAACAGCGATTGTCTTGTGAATTGGTGTCATATCTTGGGAATGATGCGTGTTTGTATGTGTTTGTTTTTAGGTGACCCCAGGTATTCCCAGGTGATCTTCTGGTTTTCACGGGTTTCAGAAGGTTTCCCAGGAAAAAGGGATCAACGGGTTCAATACCACTACAAAGAACACATTTCCCTCATACATGCCTCATTTTGAGGGGTTGCCCCCACTAGTTCCCATACGTTTTTGGCAAAAAGTGAGGGGTTAACCCCCCCCTGTTTTCCATACATTTGCAAAAATGTAGGATCCACGCCCCCTACTCCTGAACCAGTTGGGGTGGGTGATGTATATTGTGTTCCAGGCAATTGTCATGTTTCATCATCATGATGACGATCGTCATCTTCTTCTTTGTCAGCATCGTTATCTCCATCACTATCAGCATCATCGTCACAAACATCATATCACGCACGAAACTGAGTGGGGTCGCTTGTTGGCCCGGATGAGGCGGAACAGGCGAGGTCCAGTGAAGTTGAAAAAGTTCTTCACCGC